TTGAATGTACTTTCGCATCATATAGATTTGTTATCGTAAATATTTATATTCTTTTCTATAAACTTGGTCAAAGTTTACAAAGTTTGACTTCAGTCAACTCTAATATGCAGAGTAAATAAAAACGGAGGGAGTACTTTGCACTATGAAGGTAGTAATTTAGACTAGTGTCATATGCATGACACTAGTATAAGTTACTCCCCACTATAACCAGCCTTAGTAGTGTCATATGTGGCTTTATTTAATAGTTTGTAGACTCATTTTGTCTTGGCAAGCGCTATGTTACAGTAACATATTATGTTACTACTTCTCATTAATAACATGCCACATAAGCAAAAATTTCTCGAAGTGCGCTATGTTACTACCTAAATTACTCCCACCAATACAAATTCCAAAGTATCTTACTAGATGTCATTATATTGAGATTCAATGCAAATTTTAGTTTATCGATGTCCATGTATTTCGCATTTCAAATCCAAGAGGAGCAACAATTTCAACTATTGTTGGGATGGCTGACATGTGCCTGGCTGGGTGAATAAAGGTCAAAAACCATGTTTGGCACATACTTTGTTTGCCTGCATCCCCTTCCCCTCTAGCCTCGTTGAGCAGCAACAATGCAACATAAGCACCGATCGAGACGCAAAAAACTGTTTGGTTACATATAACACAAGTACTCCTGCTTTTACTAGGAGTGTTAACATAATACACACACAACAACATACATAAGGAAACGTTGCGGGCCGAATGACCGGACGAAACTCCAAGCTGGCAACAGTCCCATGCACACACCGCTTCAGCTTTCCTTATCCTATCACTCATACGCTTCCTAGCCATTCATTTTTCCACCGCTGAGTCTCCTCTTATCCCCTCGCTTGCCTTTCTTTCCTCGGGCTCTCAGATAAATCTCGCCGGCGATTAGCGTCGCCGATCCCATGCCCCAACATGACGGCCTCCATCCGCGAGTCCTCCCTCGCAAATGGGCGCTACTTTGGGAGACACCACCACCCCGCGCGGCGAGAGGAGAGGACATGGCCGGCGACACCGACGAGGTGCGGTGCTAAGGGATCGGACAGGGCCAGCGACACCATATTTGATTTTTGCTGGAACCAGCATTTGATTTTGCTGCGACATGCGAGTCGCCATGTTTTATTTTTTCCTGGAACCACTTAAGATTTTTGCTTGAACCAATTTTCTATTTTGCTACAAATCGAGAAGATGTTGCGGTCGCCAACATGATTTTTGCTACAATTATTTTTTTGCTAGAACCATATTTGTGCTGGAACTAGCAATCGTTTTTGCTACAACCAGGCGAAGCAGAGCTTGAACGGTTACGGCAGGCCTGCGCCCGGACACAATGCCGTCGACGACGAGGGTACCCACCGGAGCTGCAAGCAGGCGGGGGTGAGGTGGACGGAGGCAGAGGCGAAGGTAGAAGCGGGAGGGCTCGCGGGGAGGAGGAGGCAGAACCAGGATAGAGTCAACCCCGTACGAGGCGAGGTGGACGAAGTAGGACGCCAAATCAAACGGGTGTAATCGTTAAAATTGGGTGGCTACGTGTGGACAGCCCAAATTTGGGCCGGTCGATTGGCGCCTTAGTACTCACCTCAACCATAACCATATGATAAACCATAATTATAACAGTCATAACACATATAGTCTTTAAAGTGGATAGCGGAGATAGCAGAGATAACACTCTAAGCACCCTCAGCACCACCAGCACCCTCGACATCCATGTCAAATGCTTTGTGCTGTGGCCCACACTTTGCCACCGCCTTAATGACCTCGTCCTTGAGACCTTCAAGTCCGCGGAACTCAACAACTTTAAGGTGATAGGGCACCCGATCGTGACCTCGTGAACTTCATAGAAATCGACCCAACTCTTATCAAGGGTGAGCCTGCCGCCGATCATTCGGGCGGTGACCTTCCAGATGTTGTCATTGTTTGTTGTCCGCAAATATGGGACGGGGACAAGGTGCTTGCTGAAGCCAAGGGCATCTGTAGAACTCCAATTTAGGTCCAAAGACGGTTTCTGGAAGTGCGTTGAGCTGGTATTCTCCTCATAATGGTTGTATCTCTTAACCCTTTTCGGAGGGCTGCTGATCTTGTCCTTCTTTCCCGAGGTGATCCCTTTGCCCTTCTCGTCAGAGGCGACCTCCTTGTCCTTCCTGTCAGAGGTGACCTCCTTGGCAGCCTCGTTGCCCCCTCCCATGATGAGCTTGTCAATCTGCATTGAACATACCCATATGAACTAGTGCTCCAATAAATAACACAATGTTCAAAATATTGTCCGATTCAACGATTTATCGGTGGGTGACCACTAAGATTACACCTTGTCTTTGCATATAACATTATTTGAGTTGGATATACATACCTTAGTCAAGGGGAGCTTGAGCTTTTCTCCATCCAAGTTATGTGCGATGTGCACAACGCATGCTCCTGTATCATCTCATCAGAAAAACACATAAAAAGAACAATTTGGAGCGGTGGGATTTCGACGGCAGCAATGGACGTAGTCGATCACGTAGGTATACCTCCACCTGAGTACTTGTGCTGAACTGCGGTCCTAAGAGGAGAGTTTGATACCTAATTCTAATTGTCCTACCGCCTGAACAATAACATCCGCACAACTAGGCGGCGAGGCCTCTGGCCGCTCCCTTTCGATGGTGAGGGCTCGGATCTGAGGCGGCGGCCTCACTGGTGCGGACGGCGCTCCTCCGGCGGCGGGGAGTGCTCGTCGGTGAGGTTGGCCGGATCCCCTCGGCTGCGCGGGTAGCGAGGTCCCGGTGGGCGATGGTCGTGGCGCGGGGAGGGTCCGGACTCCCCTCGTCAGATCTGAGGCGATCTGGTCTGCTCGTGACGCATGACCTTCGGCCGGCCTGGATCTCCGGCGTGCACGCGCCTGCTGATGCTGTGGCTGGTTCGGAGGTGGCGGCAGGATGCTTGGCCGGGGGAAACCCTTGGCCGCCGGTGGCGGTCACGGCGTCGATGGCGTCCCGGACGCCATTCTCTCCTTGATGGCGGCGCTGAGGCTCAACTTCCCCTGCCTCCCCCCTTCCCCTGCGCCCGGGTGAAAACCCTAGCCCCGGTGGCTAAGCGGCGGCGGCGCCACAGCGTCGTCACCTTCTTGAAGGCGCCGACTTGGGCATGGGGATGCTGGCGTGCATGGCGAGCTTGTCTGGTTCCTGGTGGCGGCCCGTCTGATCTACTACGCCGCAGCTCCGGGCAGGTCTGATTTGTCTCGTGGTGCTGTGCTCCTCTTCCGGTCGTGTCTCCGATGGGGACCTCGCCCTTCCTTACCTTGTACCTGCCGTGGTGGAGCGGTACTTCATCTCACACATTGATGGCGGTGGAGATCGGCGACATGGCGCTGTGGAGGCTCGGCGTCCGATGTGCGGAGATGGACTCGCGCAGGAGGAGGTAGATGTCTGGCGTCATGGTGACGTCGATGGCAGAGTGGCCAGACAAGGTAGAAGCCTCAATATAATCTGAAGATGGACTTGTGGAAGATGGTTGCGACGACACATGAGTGCGTCTGACCGGATTGTGCCCCAGACCCGGTATGTGGCTCGGCTGGGGCTTCCGGCTCTTGATGTTAGGTTTAAGTGAGTGGTTTGGGTAGTGGCGCAGCTAGTATCCCTTCATCATATGGATAGGAGTAGCGGCATATGTTGCCAAGATGGTGGATTCGGGTATATTATTTGTAATACTTTGTAAGGTCCTCGAGAATAATTAATAAAGTGGCCATATGCATCTCCCAGATGCAGAGGCCGGGGGTCATCCTCCTTTTCTAAAAAAACAATTAGGCCAAGCAGAAGATTGGTACCCGCAAGGAGCAACACGATCCACTGGCCGTACAAATACATTGAGCAAGATGCTGCCTATGCACAGGCAAAGGGGTGCGGTCCTCCATTCCTTCGCGTAGGCCCGAATGCTTGTAACATTCCATGTTGACTCGCGCTTTGCTCCGTTTATAATAAAATGGAGCGGGGGAACCCCTTTCGATCAAAAAAAACAGGCAAAGGGGTGGTGCTTAGTCTGGTGCGAGGTGAGATTTTGAAATAAGATTGAAGGGAAACAAATTACCGAGTGTTGGAATCTTACAACTTTCAATACACTTGTATAACCTGGAGCCGGGGCTAGATCCGTCAAAAAAGATCCAGTTGACAACCCTGCCGCCCGCCACAAGCAGGGCAGGGGATCAGAGGGAGGGCATTGGTGCCAGCGGATGAAGGAGATGCAAGCAGCCATGAGGTGAAGCAACTGGTGTGTTTGAATCCGGGAAAGGCAAATAGATTAGGACGGCGGCAGCGGAAGATGAAGATGAGTCGTGCTTAAGTCCAAGCCAAGCAACTAAAATAGCCTAAAGCTTACCAAAAGGAACAAGTTCACAAGGACACACAGTGAAAGTGTAGTGACCACATTATGGGTACAAACATGCATGCCACAAACTCCATGAAATTCATGGTACTAGAAACTAAAAATCCTGCCCCTTGTGAAAACTTGTCCTTGGAAGCAACCTCTCTTTGAGAACTTAGTGCTAAAAAAACTCCACATGGATCTCTATCTACAAGACAATGGAGAACTCTTCTGCAAAGAACCAGGATTAAAATAAAAAGACAAGTTGTTCAAAGGCAAATTCGGCTGTGGAATCTAAAACTTGCCAACCAATTTGGTTTTGGATTCTGGACAAGCCCGAGTGCAAGCCAAGAGAAGCTCAAACAAGTTGCTCCTCTGACTTGAATCCAGAACCAAAATAGTACACCAGATCCCAGCCACAAAGCAAAAAAAGAATCAAACTTAAAGAAGCCAAAGATCAGAATAGCACAGAACAATATGGCAAGTAGCAAAACCACTTGGTAACTTGAACCACTTGCATAGCATAGGATAGGTCCGAAGTAGAGTTGAAGGTAACAAAGATAGGGTCATAGATATCCTGGCTACCACGAATTGAACCACATAACTACGAGCAACAAGCTCCACGGCAAAACAGAGTCATCGCCATCTTAGGCTTCTCTCACACACAACTCAGGGTAGGGTAGGGCAGGGCGCACAAGGAACAGCTCCACAGGAGCTCAGCAGTAGAACATGACGTCCTTGACGTTGTCCTTGATCTTTGGGAGCTGGCGCACCTCCACATGGCCCTCTCACCCAATGGCTGTTTGCATGCACATGTGAGAAACGAAATGGATAAGGTATGCAGATGAAGGCTCGTGTGCAAGCTTAATGGGAAAAAATCATCATCACCTTACTGCTGAATAGCGTCAATCATCTCAGGGAACTCCCCAGATCTTAGGACTCTCTCTATAACATCTGGAACGAAATCTCCAAGAATCTTTCCAATATGTATGTGAGAGTAATTATGAGGAAGCTGTTTAAGACAACAAAACAATTTATCTTAGAATGACTTGTTGAAGAAAAAAACAAAATACCAAAATAAACACTCTCTCAAGCAAGAAACAAAGAACCAATTTCTAAGACATTCGTTTTGTTAAAGAAGAATGATTTGTTAAGGGAACTTACAGTTTTTCCATGGACCTCGTAATTTGTAAGGCACTGGAATCACCCCGAAGAGTTGTCCGTGTATTCTTTCCCAAAAACATTCCGACAGAACAGCACGATAGGTAAAAGATGATAATTATTCTTTGCGGCTGGCCAAAAAGGGCAACGAACCTGGTTAACAAGAGTACGGAATCTAGCCTTCCTGTCATCTGACAATCCATTATACATTTTAAAAATGCCTATGACAGTTTTCCCTGCATTCATCAAAAAGAAACACATAGAAAATAAGTCAGGAAAATGAGCTTGTAAATTTCTAAAGAAACATTTAAGAGCAGTTTGAAAGAGAAAAGGATTAATGTACCTTTTTGATCGGTGGTCTTAAAAACCATGGGGTTCTTTATATATTCTCTTGCCCAACGCTGGAGTACACGAACAGGGTCATTTAACAAATTAAGGAACCGTTCCATGTATTGGAACTCTCCTCCGTACCGGAGGAAGATCAGCCTCAGGATTCTTTTTAGTGCACATTTGTCCTTTATGTACATCTCATCATTACCCTTAAATGGTGGCGGCGTCCGGAGGACAGGAATCCCATTGATGATCATAAAATCTGTCATTGAGATCTTGCCATTCCAAGATTGTTGTGTATCCTGAGCGTCGACGAAAGTGCGAGTCAACGCAAGCGCCATTATACATCCAGCATCATCTATTAAGTTAACGTCTTCTTCTTGGCCCTCAATCTCATGATGATTAAATACCCACACATCAGGAAAAGTGTAATGTTTCTGAACATGGCCCCAAAGATTCGCCTGAGTCGTCAATGGGACCCTTAGCTCAGGGGGTATGGGAGATGGCTCTCTGCGTACCTGCCTCCTATTTGACATGCAACCGAAAAAATTGGTCAAGTGAAGTGATAAAATCCTAATGGAAAGTGTCAAGTGAAATGTAAACTACTCTATGTGTTCATCAATAAACTAGCAGAGGGTGTAAAATAGAACAACATCTATATTGTTAAGTATACTAATTCTTAAAATACCAATGGGGAAAGATGCTGTCTTGTTAAATTCAATGTAACATGGATGGACATAGAACAGATGGGCGAAAACTACTGAGTGTAAGATTTACCTTCTGCATCCTCCCAACAGTAAAATCTTTGGAAGCGACTGACCGCTAATCCTGGGGTTCAATCCAGCATTTAAGCTGTCCCCTTCCACGTAGTAGCGCGCACGAATTATACCCTTCAGGTGGGCATAGTACGCCGGTGTGACTGCATTACAAGTTCAGCCAAGTTAGCTTCTTCTGGAGGTAAATGTCACAGGGTGTAGAAATAGAACAACGGCTATGTTAACCAAGTAATAAGTCTTAAAACGGCATATGCTCCTAAGGGAAAGATGCTTCAATGCAACGTAAACATACAAGACATAGAACAAAGGAATGGAAACTACTCAGTGTGTTCATTAATAAACTTACAGAGGAATGGAAACTACTCAATGCATTATTCATCAATAAACTAAGCCTATTTGTCAAGCAGTTCATGCTAATTTTGAGTTTCAGACCAAAGGCCCTCAATACACATTCATCAACCCACAGAAGAAATGGCATGCCATATGATCAACCTCTAGTAGAGATCAAGGAAACTTTACTAGAGATCAGAACAGATCAAACTTCAGGCAAATTGAAGCAGAAAACGGAGCATGGAAAACTCACCAACAGAGACTGCGCGAGTGCGGCAGGTAGAGCTGCATATTGATCAGAATTAAACCATCATCAGAGTCATAACACAACAGAGAGAGAGAGAGAGAGAGAGAGAGAGAGAGGAAGAAAGAGAGGATTACGTGTAGCAGAGATCGTTGGTCAGCGACTTAAGCGCATCGGCTGTGAAGTGATTCTCATCATAAAGAACATGGTAATGTGTTGAACTGCTGGTTCCCTGAGAAGGATTTACAAGCAGCACTCAGTATGCAAGCATTGGAGATAAAAAGAATAGAAAAAAAACATGTGTGCAAAATGGGTACCTGAGTGCCAGCATTGTTGCACAAGTAGAAATCAAATTCTGATTTATCAGCCAACGTTCCTGCAGGACAACAGAAATAGAAATGCACCCAATCATAATCAGCAATGCTTCAACAAGTAGCGGAGACAGTTATTATCAGTGACAAAATACGACGACTGTTACTACTAACCAAGAAGTATGTCCCCACTCTTGTCAGTCATATCACACCTCCCAGGAACCTCAGGGATATCCAGCCTGGCGTGATGCCTGACAATCACAAAGGTGACTGGGGGCATATACCCCTCCTCCAAAGAGGCACAGGCCTTGTAACAACAAAGTAAAAAACCATCAGAATGACAAAAGCCAGGGATATAACATCAGAAGAGGTAGACCAAAGCAGAAATTTGATGCAACTTACCTTCCTGATTGCGTCCATTTCATGAAGCAGAACATGGCCGAATTGGCCTTCACTTACGCCATCCCTGTACATGAGAATGATCAGTCAGGCAGTCCCGTTGAATGGACAGGATGAAAAGAGCGTCATGAAATTGTGCACATACCTGTAGAAGAGTATCCTCTCAGGCCTCCGGCCTGTGTTCCAGCGGGAGGCAATCAGTAACTCCCTGTAGAGAAAATTATGTCAGGTTAGTAGTTGATCCACAGGGCAATTGCTAGCAATCGTCTCTGACTAATCACAAAACTCACCTTATCATGCCACCATTGACATTACCCCTCTGTGGATCTTTGGTCACACTGAAGAGGTCTTCAATTATCTCCTGCCTGTGTGGTTGAGCAGAGACAAGACCGCTGTACTTGGTGATCTCTGGCCAGTCCATTGATGCCACCACCTACATCAATCCAATAAAAGAAATGGATAAGTCTATTTGTACTCAACAGGTATGTGCATCAAGATTATAATTCCATTTGAAAGATAAATTCAGATAGAAACAAATAATGAATTGACAAACTGTTAGCTACGGGGAAGAACTAACCGCAGCAATTGATGATGCAGAGTCCTCTCCAGGTGGGGGGTGTGTAACATCAGCACCAAAGATGATTGTTGGGACTTCGGACACAAACGGTATGCCATTTCGCACAAAAGCTCTCTCCAGAACTGTGTTGCGTCCTCCGACCTAGTCAAGACACAGAATTATCACATTCAACAGAAACCGAAGTAGACAACGAATCAACATTCCATGGAAACTGAATGTAAAACATAGACCAGGTGGTTATGTTACCTTCACATTGATTTTGAGTGCAACATTCTCCAAATATTGCTTGTTTGGTCTGGCAGCATGCCTTGGCAGGCAGCACTGAGACACGATCCCAAGGTCAGTCTCACAAACCTTCTTGATTTTCCCTGCAAAATTAAACGTGGCACACACATGAATCTACAGAAATCCAAGAGAAGGTGGAAGGGGATTAACCAGAGGAGCCATATGCATACCATAAGAACCACTGACTTCAGGTAGGATTACAATTAACAGTTGTAGCTGTTTTTCGCTTCCCTGTTTTCCAAGCATTTCGGTAGTCCTCCTGTATACATCCCTCAAGGCATTCTCGATGTGGTTGGGGCTAGCTGATCGGTTGTCTACAAGTGGCCTTGGATTGACAGACTACAGGGTTGGAAAACACAAGTCAGTCAGCTATAACATACACACATAAATCATAAATGCCTGAGAAACAGGAAAGCAATGCAAGCCTTTTACCATTCCAGTCATATTGCACATCTGAATCAGATCACAACAGAACCTGTGTACCTCCTCAGGAGGTATGCGTGAAAAACTCACACAGGCCCAGTTGTCTATGATTCCTCCATTGATCATTTTCTGCAGTAAAAAAACTCAAATGAGACCTATCATTTGTACCATAATCGATATACTACATAGAAAATGATGAGCCAAGTCACAGACAAGCTCAACTGTTTCTCAATTCAAGTAACCAGTGTGAAAACTACGTGATCAATAAAATGCGATCAAGCAAAATAATTTGAGTTGCTACATACAAAATAATGACCTGTCCAATACATTAAGAACACACAAAGAAGAAACTCAACAAGTTCTCCATGTATTTAGTTCCAAGAAAAAGTAATGCATAGTAAAATTGGGAGTGAAGACAATGAACAGGGAAATACCTTGTTAATCATGTTCCACTGTCCAACACTTGGCGCACAAGTTTTCTCCTTTCCAGAATCATGATATCTCAACTGAAACACATACGAAGGATGTGATTACCACAAATCCTTCCAGTTAAGCAGCTCAGAGAAAGGGGGGAAAATACAGCATTCTTACCATGGGGGGAGGCAGCACACGGGCTGGAACAGAGACCAGGTCACTGCAGACATTGATTTCAAACTCTTGAGCAAACTTGTCCTCAGCATACTTGTTGTGCAGAACCATCTACAGTGTGAAAAAGAGTGTTATGAGAAAGACTGCACATTACAGGCAAACATGACAAATATGCCTTGAAAAGGACATTCCTAACTACATGAGTTCGAACAGATTGGAATGAACTACCACATGTGAGAAGATATGGGCAGGTATTTACAGAATGCAGTTGACAACAGGTACATACCTCACGAATGCTTTGCTCCCTCAGCTGGGGACGTTGACAGGTAGTTCTAAGTATGTTGGTGACCTGCTTGTCATTCAGTTTCTTAGAGTACCTTTGCCCTTCAACAATCTTGCACGCCTACAATCAATTTGTAGAGAAGCATGAGCAAACAATGCATAATTCAAATATGATGAAGCAGGCATGAACACAATACCTCCATAGGCAGATACACAGGCCACGCATCACTTCCAGACTGCAAGCAGGGCCAAGAAGTATACTGCAGATTGTAGTTCTATCTTTGCATGAAGTACTGAACAACTGACATTCTTGTTCCTCTCTCATCAACAGGAAATCTAACAACAAACAAAACAACACGAGTGGAGTGCTATTAGAAAGGGAACAATAATCATGGATAGATGCTAAAAAGGAAACCGTGGTATAAACATTCATAAGGAAAATTGTGAACAGGCAACAACTTGGCACAAACAGATCTTTGCTATGCTGCCAAAATCAAATGCATATGCCACAGGAAGAATGTTGTAAACAAAATTATTCCCCTAATCAGTTCCTGGCACACCAACATCAATGAAGATGCAATAAGCCAAAAATCTATACAACTACACATCTTTTTAATATTCCAGCAACCCTGATTAGTTGCACCAGAACATAGAGAGAAAATACATAATGGAAAACATTATAGCATTTGAGGTTAGTTAATTACATGAGCTGGCTCATAGGAACAGGAGTAATCCCTGTTATCTTGTATCTTCTGATTTGGTCTTCCTGGTGGTTTGTTTCGACACGCACCCCACGGAGTGCTTTCTTTATCTGCATATAGTGCATAGGAACAGATTAGTCAACTATTTCAAGCCAATAAAATGGTGCAATGTACATAACATGGATTCTGAAACTAGGTTAGCATAGATGAATAGTACCTTAACACGGTCCCTGTCTGTCAGAGGCCGCGAGGCATCACGTAAGTTGAGGAACTCTAGCACAAACTAGACCACTGTCACAGACTTGAAGAAGGATGTTGCAGATATGTCTGAAAAATGGAAGTGCAGATCATCAGATAAACAAGGCTAGGACACACTGCAATCGGATAACAGTAACGGTAACAGACAGGGGAGGGGAGGGGAGAGGAGTACCTATATTGAGTGACAGCCCCATCTGGGTTGGACGTAAGCTCTGGTGGTAACCTCTCCAGCACTCTAATCCTTCACCAATGTCTCCTCTGTGACCAAAGGTGGTGGTGAAGAAGGATCTGGACACTGTGACATAGCTGCAATGAAAAATTGCAATAGTGTTAGGGCTCTAGAGAACTAGCTAGTATGATGAAGAAAAACTGATGGCAAGAAACTGGAATGTGGATGTCATACTTCCAGGATGGTGACTCCCTGAGGACAACATGAAGAACTTGGATGGTTTCTTGAGGCATATCCCTCTGTCTTCCTTTGAGAAACTGTTGGAGGTGGTACAGGTCTGTCCTCCCAGCAATCCGAATGGTGATCTTGTACTCCCTTTCAGCCCTGCAAATGAAGAGGGAACAAGTTAGTAGCTAAAAAACAAATACAATGGGTAATCAAGTTGGACAAGACTGAAGGTAAAGAATCCAATCTTACTTTTCTTTGTCTTTCTTTTCCGGAGCAACCAGTGTAACAGAAAACTCCTCAGACTCAAAAGGGAGTGAGCCTGCAGTGTAAAGACTCTTTCTTCCATCGTAGGCAGGCAATTTGCCCCCAAGGGATGTCTTGCCGTGCAACTTGATTAGCTCACTGAGTACCTCCCTGTTCACAGCCCTTGATTTTGACTCCGGGTTAATGGAGACCTACAGCAACACATTTCAACATCAGTATGTATGCACAAACAAGAGAGACTCTGTTCTACATTCAGTACACAGAATAGAGACGATTAGCCCTCTGATTAGTGTCCAATGAATTTTAAAAAAAATCAGATGAAATATTATAATTCTCAGTACTTATGCTATACTTCATTCAATCTGTGAGGGAAAAGAAAAACTAGCGGATCTTAAGAAACCAGTAAACCAAAATTAGGCAATAAACAAATTAGCTGCTAGTGGCATCGCAGGACTGGAAATGTAGCAGGCAAACGGCAAGACATACCATGTGCCGGCCTCCATTTCGACTTACAGAGACCAGAAAAAAATCCAGTTGAAACGGAAGAAGCCCTGTAGTATAGAGTCAATCAAGTGGGGGAAGAAGTCTGGATCCCAAATCGAACTCCCAATACTCAAGGGGGCACAGCACAGTAGAGTAATTTTCTGGCACGGCCATGCTAGGGTTCCTGACGGGCCGCGGGCGAGCAGGCCGGAGGCGGAGAAGGGGCGGCGGCGCTCCGTCCTGGTGAGGAGGGGTTGAGTGGGAGGCTGCGACGGCATGGTGGGGGTGGGTGCGAGGGCACGAATCTTGGTGCAATCATGCGGTACAGAATACAATAAGCGGACCTGTGTACCGTGTGTATAGTATAGAAAAAAGGACCTGCGTACTGCGTCTAGTAAAAAAAAGGACCTGCGTGCTGTTTGTACTTTAAAAAAGGAACTACAGACTGTATACCAGATAGGAGTACTTGTTACGAGGAGTAGCAAAATAATTCGTCGCCAATTCACCATTTATAAATGGACTAGACGAATATAAAGTAGTTTTTTTTTGCATTTGGAATATAATAAAATAGTTTGGCAACAAAGGAGGTACGCATACATGTATGAGCAGAGAATGAGATTTTAAAGCAAAATAGAGCTAACTGTAAAAAGCTGAAAAACAATAATATTAAACCTCACGTCAAAAAAGTACTAATATTTAAATCCCCGTACGTGTCGACCATTCAGCGAAAAAAAACAGATCTACCACTGTTGTTCCACCCACATACATACACAAAGAGGAAACGTCAAGGCTGGACTGAGAGGGGAAAAAGAATCTCCCCCAAAAAAGAAAGTTGACCACGACGGACTGCATGCAAACACAGAGAGCCACACGGATTTGCGCTACAGGAGATCCATCGGAGCAAAGACAAAACCAAAAGCTGCCGCGGGACCGCATGCAGGCAGGGCAGAGCCAAAGGAATCACAAACAGAAGTGCACCAGGCAGCAACAAAGGTGGCAAGGGCAACAACACCAACAGGCCTCCTGCTTTGCCCAAAATGTATGGAAGACACGTACACGGACGGACGGATGCGTCTGCCATGTCCCAACGGACGGATGGTACGTTCGTCGCTTTGCCCTTCTGTCCCCGAACGAGGACAAGGACCAGACGGAAACCATAAGACCAAGACCATCCAACAACGACAGAAAAACTTTCGCAAAAGAAGAACGCCGGGGAAAGACACAGGAGATCAATCAAAGAAAGAAAAAGGTGGGTGGCCTTGCATGGGACGGGGAGGCTCCGACCGGCACTCCACAAGGATGGGATGGGATCTCACGGCGACCCCCTGCCGTCTATAGCCAAAACGGATCCCAAGAATCTGCAGCCTTGACCGCAAAGTTGCCGAAATAATGTCTACTCTACATCTACTACTGCTAGTTTCCAAGATAACAACGACAGAGACGAAACAAGAAGCGCTAGCTACTGTCTGCAGGATGGCTTTTGCATTGCAAGAACTCACTGTTCATGCATGAGAACTCACTGTTCATTGCAAGAAACCACCCATGCATGTACCCAGAGAAAACGGCAAGATTTTATAAAGGCAAAAGAGAGAAGCACCGAGGCGTCACTACGTGTAGCGACAGCGCTCGACCAAGCATCCATGGATGGATGGATGGATGGGGTCGGAGACGCACGTCGCATGGAGAAAAACGAAAGCAGAGCGGGAGAAAACAGATCTATGAGTATAGCGCGGACAAGAGAAAAACGACGTACGATACAGCTTCGAAGTAGATCTACGAGTCCCCGCAAAAAAAAAAGAAGTAGATCTACGAGTGAACAACTAACGCGGACGTGAGAAAACGAAGCAGAGCGGGAAAAAACAGCGCGACGACTACAATCGTAAACTAGTAGATCCATCTATCAGTGAACTCGGACAGCGGATTAACGTACATGAACCCACAGGGAACGCCGGATCTGGAGAAAACGAAGCGCATAGAAGAGCGTAAACAGAGAGAGAAGGAGGGGGGTAGGGTTCGTGCTCACATCGTAGTGGAAGAGGTTGTTGTCGGCGACGTTGACGAGGAAGTGGTTGGCGCGGATCATCACCTTCTTGCCCACGGTGCCGGCGCCGGGCCGAGCGGGGTGGGCGAGCCCCTTCTTCGACACCGGCGCGAGGTCCACCTCGGGGGCCTTCTCCTCCTCGGGCGGCGCCAGCGCGGTCTCCGTGACGAAGAGCTTCTGCTCGAGCTCCTTGGCGACGGTCGCTGGGGTCGGCGGAGCGGGAGCGGGGGCGGAGACGCGGGCCGGCTGGAACGGGGCCGCGGCCGGCGAGGGCGTCGGAGCAGGAGCGCGGATGGTGGCCGGCGTGGGGGACGGCGCGCGGACGGTGGCGTAGGGTGTCGGGGCGGGGTTGCGGACGATGACGCCGTGCTGGTAGGCACCCTGGTGCGGCCTCGGAAATGCGCCGCGGCGCGAGGGGCCTTTCTGCAAACTGCGCGGCTGTCCGCACCTGGTTTGCTTTGGTAAAGTAACCATGGTACAGCGGTTTTGGTCAGGTGGAATGGTAACCACGGTTGGGTTTGGGTTTGGGTTTGGGTCAGCTGCAAACGCCACTGTTCTCGAATTTCAATTCAAATTGTGGCTGCTGGTGCGATTCCGATGGATGGAGAATGATTGAGCTGCCAACGGGTGAAGAATCTTTCATTTTTGGTACGTACATGCACTTTCTTGATTTTTGGTTTTATCTCGCACATTTAATTAAAGAGTACATATGCGTGTAGAAACAATTAAACTAATTCTCATGCATTGGTAAGCACAATTAAGGAGTAAGTATGCGTCTCTCCTCGGTCTCTTCGTTATCGAGTGAGATTTCTACACATATGTCTACATGATAAATAGACTTCTCCCGCGCGAGATTGATTTAAAAATGGTAACATCATCACAAATAGAGCTAATATCTAATCTGGGTAGATTTCTTCAATAAACCTTTATCGGTTCAGTAATATCTGACTTATGAATACAACAAATGTTGAGATGCTGGTTTCTTGGATCAAGCTATCTCACAACCGGACTGGGTAGCTATAGCCAACCCACTCTGCATCAACAAACTACAAACTACCG